AATAAGCAAATAATAACAATTTTTATGAATAAGTCTCTATATGTAATTTTTTAATTTTTAAGATTTTTCTTGGTTGCTATTTTCCCTCCTTATTATCCTCTTTATAGCCTAACTATTTCATCATAGGTAAAGTTTCCAAGGTCTGGAAGATTGCGTCAGCGGAACGATTTCATAGTTTGAAACTGAGTCCACCCCTTCAATTTCGATTTGTTCAATCAATTTTGGGAGATTGAATCGATTAACCTTGGATTCTTGGGCAATCGCAAATCGACCTAGATGGCCACCTTTTTAGTTAATTGGGATTAAGTATTGGTGTGCCTAATTAAAACACGTGGCAAAAGCTAATTGACTATTTAGATATATTTGATCTACCTAACTTGATTTAAATTTGATCTTTTAAAAAATATTTTTTTACATATTTATTATTTTATTATTTTTGATTAATTTTAACAGATTTTTTAAATCACAATTATTTGGATCTTATAATATGATAAAAACTATGTAAAATTGAAATTTAGGGAAAAAAATAATAAAAGGATGTGTATTAAAAAAGACGATCAAATGCATACTAAAAAGGGGTAATTTAGTATTGTTTTTGGAGTTCATTAGCTAATTTATATAGATTAAAAAAATTAGTAAAGTTAGTTATTTGTCTCTGAAATATTCTTATTAATCATATATATTAGTTAGAACTATAATTTGATAAAATCTTTTAACATGTGCATTACTATAATGACTACTTTAAAAATAAATAAATATAAAAGATAAAAATAAAGTGAATTTAAATTTTATATTTAAAATTAAATTAAAAATTAAACTGGTTTTTATATTAAAAATAAAAATAAATATAAAAATAAATTTGCATCACGAATTTCGGCATCCCCATGGTAAAGCCACGTCAAACATCACTAGCTAGGGCACCCCTAAGACTTCCATTAGCATCATGTCGGTCTCCACTCAAAAAATGAATTTGAGGGGATAAAACCATACCTAATGGCTGTTCACGGGACAGATCGGGACTGGAACAGGTCCGTCTGAATTCCGTCCCGATGAACAGTAACACGACAAATTTTCTGTCTCGTGTCTCATCCCGGTGTTATCTCATTTTCGGTCAGGACTCGGGATGGGATGGAATCAGGACGGGACCGGGACATCCTGATATATTTTTTTAAAATTTTTTCAATTTTTTAATAAAATCTGTTTTTTTTTAATTGTAGTTTTTTGAGCTTAGGCCTTGTAAAAACATCTTTTTGTTTGCTTTTTTATTTCTTTGGGCACCTTTAAACAAAAGCTCAAAATATAACATATAATAGTCATTAAAAACTCTAAATAAAAGCTTTTAACATAATTAAAAACTTGTTAGAAATTCTAATCATCAGTAGTCTCAAATCATCAACAAATATAAAAGCTCTAAATAAATATATCCATAGTTCTATAGAATAGTTTCAAATCTTATAAAAATATGAAAAAAATGATATTATTAAATTGGATAAAATTTGAAAAAAAAAATAAAAGGAACCAGGACGGGACGATCATGTCCCGTGTCCCGTCCTGATTTGTCCCATTCCAAAAAAATTCAGGACAGGCCCGTCCCTTCTCAATAAGGCCGGCACCGGAACGGGCTGACCAGGACGGGCCGGTCTTGAACACCCCTAATACCTACCCATTATTTTTTTGGAAAATATAGATATTTATAATGTTAGATAAAATTTGTTAAAAATAAATAAATTTCTGGTATTTAAAAATTATAAGAATCTCTTCTTTCTTAGAGAGTAGACACCATAATTTTAATTGCGAAAATTAATTTATGTAATTATACAGTTTTTGTAAAATTTATTTTCATACTTAATGAGAAAAAAACTATGCGGGGACATAGATGGAATTTTATCCGGCTACATATGTAATTTTATTGGGGAGGCCGGAGGGGGAGTCATATTGTCATTTGGTGAGATGAAGGCGGCACAAAAGACAAAGGAGAAAAAGGCCGCAACAACTCATCGTGCAATTGAACCTGGAAAGGGACCCAAAAAGTCGGACCCGTGACGGTCAATAATTGTACGAGGAGTGACGACACTTGCTGCCAGCATCCGTAATACGTATGCATTTTATCACCATTTCTGTCGCGTATTTGTTGAGAGTAAAATATATTAACCACCATTTTATTTTACACGGAAACTTCTTCCCTATTTTAAAAATGTACGTGAGTATCTCTTAAATTTATTATTTTCATTCACCCAAACTGTTAATTGACTATTAAATTTGATTTTTAAATTTTTGTTTTGAGCAAAATATTCTTATTTAATACAAGAATTAGTTAAACATTTTCAAAAATAATTTTTATATAACTTAAAAATTACTCAAATGCATGTATTTTCAAACTTTCTAATATGTTATAATATTTATTAATTTTGATTATATCATCAAAATTTTATGATTTTAATTTTTCATTACATTTTTCTAATAATGGCTAAAAAATATTTTTTAAACTCATATTTTTTAATCATGTCATATAAATGATATAAGTTTGAGAGATCACGTCAACCAATTAGATTTATAATTTAAAACTTGCCAACACATTTTTTTGCCACAGACATATATAAACATATTTAGTCAAGTGTTATTAATTAAAAAAATTAATCAAATTTTAAATATATTTTTTAATTAAATTACTTGAATTTTTGGCATAATACGGTAAAAAATAAAAAAATAATTAATTTTCAAAAAGGAGAAAATAAAATCAAATAAAAAAAAACTCTTAAATTCTTCAAAAGAATTTTAGTCGATATTAAGGATTTAGTACAATGAATGGTAGATTAGTGAATAAAATTTATTTAAGTATATTTTCAGAATACTCTTAATAGAGTTAAGTACAGATCCACGTAATTAGGATAAAAAGCAAAGAAGATTAGAGTAATTTATTCATTTATCTATTATATAAGCTTCCCATTATGTTCGAACTTTCCTGATATGGGCAAGGTACAAAAATCTGAGCAGGTTAATAAACTGGTTAAGGTAATAAGCTATTAAAGGTAGCAATTCACGGTTAGCAATTTAGACCGGAAATAATTAAAATAATATAAGTAAAAAATGTGTAAAACTATTCATATCTTAATAAATAATATTTATTATTATACTGTTTTTGATTAACGGTGATTTACAATTGTTTTATAAGTATTGATTACATTTTAATAAGTACTAATAACTCTTTTCTGGCAAGTAACAAAGTCACTTTTTAAAGCCATTCACAACTTCTATAAATATTGATTACATTTATAATGTTAGATAAAATTTATTAAAATTGGATAATCCATTGGCATTTTTTAAAAAATTAAAAAATTATTTGTTTCTTAGAGCCCATAATTTTAGTTGCTAAAATTTAATTTAATTTATTATATAATTTCTTATAAAATTTATTTTCATAATTAATGTGAAACAATTTTATGTTTAAATATATATGATAAAGTCAGTCCCCAAAATATATATATGTTTGAGATTTTAAGGTGTTAAATAGGGCAAATGGAATTTTATGTGGGGACAAAAATGGAATTTTATTGGCGCAGTTGGCGTCGGGAAAGTGATTTCGTTTTCAGTGATTTGCTACTGGCTAGGGCAACGTAATTTGCCGCTCGGAGTGGGAGTGGGAGGGCGCTGTCCTCAAAAGAGGCCAGAAAGGTGGACAGGTAACGGTAAGTTAATTTGGAAAAAGAAAGTGCATGGAAATGGAGAGGAAGTGAGGAAGGCAGGTGGGAGAAATTCTACACATGCACGAAGAGATAAATATCCTTCAAATCACACAGTGGGACCCATACTTATTATCGGCTTTTATATATATCACTTTTATTTTCGCACGCGCGTTCTCTTTTCTGTCTCTCAACTCTCCTTTTTTTTTTTTAATTTAATTTTCTCCCTCTTTTTAATAAAACTTCGTCCACTCATTTACCTTTCTGTTTTATTCTAGCATATACTCAAACACTCTCCCTCCCTCCCTCCCCCCTTTTATTTTTAATTTTATTTATTCTCATTTAAATAATAGTGCTGCTTTTTCAAATAAAAAATTCTAAAATAATTATATGAAAATTGAAATTTTAGAATATGAAGGAAACGTAATTTATATTTTACAACCTAACCTCTAAATTCTTTCTCAACTTTTTAAAATTCCCTTCTTTTTGATGGTTTATTTTATGTTGACATGTGAATATTATTTGACTAAAAAAAAAGGACATGTGAAAATTATAAGCAGACTTTGTAAAGGGAGTCAAACTAAATAAAATATCCAGTTAGATCTTTTTTTTTAACTTCAATGACATACATTAGCTTGTAATAACTTGTGTTTCTAAAAGTATTTTCTCCATTTAGTTTCACCGAAACTTCACACCCTGGTCATGGATAGATCACCTAGGTTCGGGTTCATAAGCAGTGACAATTACCCTATGAAGACTCGCTTTTGCTACGGGTTTGGTGTTCCCTTAACCAAGCCACTGTCTATGTTTTTCTTCATTTTTTCAAAAAGTAATTCTTCTTGTACCGGAAAAGTGAATTTTTCATGAATATTCACGGATGATAGCTTATGTTTACAAAGGTATTTTATTTTTTTCTTATTTTTGATTAAATTACTGAAACAATTATTTTAATAAGCATAAAATTTTAAAATAAAGATTATCTCTTAACTATTTTTTCAAAAGATAATTTTTTATTTTAAAATAATTAATTTAAACTTTTACATCCAAAGCTTAGGGTGCAGACACCCAAACTGGTTCAGGAAAACCAGAGTACACTAGATTTTTCTAGATCCCCGTCAAGAGTAAAAAAAATCTTCCTAGATGTGGCGTTCAACCCCACTTCCATTGATGTGTCCTGTGGGGTCGCGTTCTTTCCAAGCTAATTTCACAGTATATACTGTTACTTGCAGACTCACTTAGCTACAAATCAATCCATTGCTCCGTACAAAAGACTCAAGCATCTGCTTCATACTCCACCTTTCTTGTTCAGTCGAAGAGCATCGTTATATTCATGGCTCACCAAAACCCTCAGCATCATCTTCGTGGTGATGATGATGATTCCCTGGATCCTCGAGTTGCGAAGGATCTTGACGAAATGCTTCCTGCTTCTGATTCTCAAGTTGTTACCAACGAGCCTGCAAAAGCATCACTTGGTATGGTGTCTTTTCACACTTCAATTTTTTCTTCTTATCTCCTCATACCTGTTGCTATATATGGTTCTTCGCATGTATAAACAAAATCTAATCCTGGGTTGATTTAAACATGACCAACTTGCCCGAATTTGTATATATTATGCATGATTATTCAAGCATAATATGCTCAAACCGGTGATATTGGTGCCACAGAAACTCACCTCAGAGAGGCATGAGGATCGATGCGCATCTATTTCTCATATCAGTTCTGAGAGCAAAGGCATAAAGTAAAGCCTTTGGTCTTTATGAGGGGAGAGGTAAGCATATATTTACAAACTACTACTTCCACTTCTATTATTATTTAAGATACTATTATTATTTAGGATACTGATACTTGGTAATTCTACAGGTTGCTAGGATTCTTTGATGCGTATTTATTTCAAAGTAATGAGAGAGAAAACGAGAGGTATGCCATGCCACAGTCAGGGTTCCTCTCTATTTTCTCCTCTCTCCCTCAATTTTTACCTCAAAGGAGCTAGATAACATCAGCGCAAGACACAGCTGTTCTCAGATAAAGCAAGGACTTTGACTGAAAGGCCTGCAAAAGGAGAAAGAGTTAGATAAAAGCCTCCGATGGAGATGACGACTCTCAAGTCTCATCGGAACTGATCCTTTATTTTATCAGTTTAGTACTATATCCTCACCGCTGTTCTGTACCTGTAATCAGTTCTTTATTCTCGGAAGCATTTGCATGTACAGGATCCACGTTGAAGGATGAAGAGCAAGCTCGAGATCTTGATGATGCCGTAATCAATTCTACTCACTCCCTTAGCTCGTACTCAACAAGATCTATCACAGACAGTTTTAGCGATGTTTTTACTACTCCAAAAGCTGTTTTTTCTCCCGAAATCTCAGTCCAGCAAATCAATCGTTCGAGGTCTAATGATACTTCCATTAATATCCCTGTGACTCCTACTCCTGCATCATCACCGCACGAACACAACAAGCTGGGCTTCATAGTTTTTCCTGTTGAACTTCTAAATGCTATAATCAGTCTTGCTGTTTCATCAAAGGCAAAAGATAACCAGGTTCTGATTTATGTTGCGGTGGCTTGTTCTACACTGGCTTTCTCGATTTCTTCAACTGCTCTTGTGGTGCTTAAGAAAAGGCCTCCGATGGCGAAGAAGATGCAAAAAGCTGCGTTTCTGATCGGCACGTTTGGATTCTTGGGAATGATGGGCATGCTTTTGCCTTCAAGCATCAGTTGGTGGTTCACTATCTCAGCCTTCCTTGTTTGTGTGCTGATGTTTGCCGTTGCAAATTTGATTGGGCGAGAGGAACCTGGTTGAGCTATTGTCGTTGCCCTTGTCCATAAGTCTTTCTTGGTTCTTGTCTTAGTATGGTTCTCATGAAGACCACTTGATTTTCCTGTAACATAAATAATGCAAATTGATGTGCATATGGACAAAGTGATATCTCCGTTGTTCTCTTAATCTCTTGTGCTGCCTGATTCTTTGATCTTTCTTTCCTTCTTTCTTTCTTTTTAATTTTTTTTTTCCGGAAAATGATTTGTAGGACCACTGAAAGAAATGAATGGCCTCGGAGGACTAATAAATTCCTAAAGATATCGTTAAGGTGTTTATTATTTTTCTCTTTTTCTCTATAAATTTATCATGATAGTATTTTAAAAAAGGAAACAATTTTTGCTTTCAACTATAAAGAAAAATTAATAATTTGTAAATCCTTATAGTTTCACCTGATTTGTAATTAGGTTTATGTAGTTTTTTTTTTGTTTTTTTATTTTGTCTTTAGGTTGCACTTGATTTTTAATATACTTTCTCTTTCTTTTTACCAGGTCCTTTTAATCATCATATCTCTTTTGTTTTATTATTTATTATTAAAATTAATTATTCCAAATTAAGAAAATCAAATTCATTTTAATTGTTTAATTTGAATTACTTTTTTATTTATTTTTTTCCATTGTTATTTGTTTATATATTAATATTTATATTACTTTATAATTAATAGTCATTATTTTATTATTTTATTATTTTCTAGCTCAAATTTATTCTAGTTAAAAAAATTTTATTTTATAAATTTTTTATTTAATTAATAAGTGAGGTGTTTTATTTCTTTTTATTTGTTAAATTCTTAAAAAGTTTAGCAGATTATGGTTTAATTTGACGATGATGATGTCCTCCTTGTGTTGAAAAAATAATACTATAAGATATTTTCTTAACGAAATGAATACAATTTATCAAATGATTGTATTTGTATTGTCAAAAACAAAGAAAAAGGAATGTGTATCAACAAATAACGTAAAGAAAAAGGAACGTAAAAAAAAAAAAAGGAGATAAACCCCCCATTTAAAAAATTTCTTAGGTAATAGTCCCTGAAAAGTTTGTGAAGGATTGAGGTCTTTGAGAGAAATACTTATGCTCATGAAATGACCACAGTGCCCTTAATGAAGATGCATAACATATTACGAGCAGAATGAAAGAAAGATGGCAGGTAAGGGAGCTTAGTTGCACTTCCTTGTGCAATTGAACGTTCATACATATAAAGCATATTTCATTAAGTGCACCTGAAATTCCTTTGCATAATTAGACTTCTATACGTGCAAAGCATATTCCGTTTAGTGTAATTTAGTTTCCGTACATGCAATTTATCTTTCATTTTATTCAAAATATTTTTATATGCAACTAAACTTACTTATATGCAAAACAAAACCTTCTTCCTTTAAGTGTAACTACTTTTTCTTGCGTGCTTTTCTTAGAGTTACTATGGCCATTTATCCTTCACGAGGTCCGAAGGACCAGTGGCCAGTGCGCTCAAATTTGCACCTTTACAAAATTTAAACAAAGCTTTTTTTTTTTACTAAATAAAAAACTTAAACAGTTACTGTGTTGTTCATTCTCAAGTGAAATTTTGAAAAATTAAGGAAAGGTACGTATTACATACACCTAATTAAAATTATTTAAAAGCAATAAATATATAAGAGATGTAATTTTTTTCAAATATATTATTATTTGTGGAGAGAGTAAGTGGAAGTGAAAAATGAGTAGGAAAAAAATTGGAAGAGAATGTGTAATAATTTATTGAATGAGAGAAAACGTGTAATATAATCAATGTACATACATGTACTTAATTGAGGTAAAAAAAAATTCAAATAAAAATAAAGTGAAATTTATACATAGGACCTTCCCTTTCTTAAAAAGTATAACTTATATGTAGGATTTGAGGGACGGAGGAGTAATTTTTAATGTGAAGGGAAGTTTGTAGAGATTTTAAAAATAAAAGAAAACTTTGTAATTAAATAAAAATAAAAGGAAATTCAGTGCATTTTACTCTAAAATTAATCATCATATCATCACCAACCAAAGATGTGACTAAATTCATTGCCTTTGTGGAATGTGTGTGTGTGTGGAAGGAGGCATATATAATCATTGAAATATTATATGATTTTGACATATTGAAAGAGAAATGGTTCCATGCATATTTATTACCAATTTGCCATCTTACAGCATTCTTTACGCGAGTAATTTAATTAGGACCACAAATTTTTAAATTATTTAATGAAAGAAAATTCATTTTGATATCGTTAGTGAGTCTAAATCTCAAATGGTCAACAATATTATATCAGTGCCCGGATAAGAGCTAAGAATGTGTAATCATATTCGCACAAATTAAAAGACTTCAACAAAATTATCCATTAAATATTGTTAATTTAAAGGTGTGCATAGACAAGGTTAGACCAAGTCGGGGATTGGTTGAGACTTTGTGGAATACAAAGTTGACTGTTAAAAATTCAAAATTGACCCGAGTAATGGCGATCCAGTATCACTCACGAGAAGTTGCAGCATATGATGGTTTTTGCGATGCATAAGATTTGAATTATATGCATATTCTACACTCGCAGTAGTGAAAGGGCTTCAATGTATCATTGTTTAAATTCACATTTTGTCACTAGTGTTTGCTGTTCGAATTATAAAACTGTGGTATGCATTGAAAATTCAGTATGTATCTGGTATTAGTGCCTATATGGGTCGTTATTCACAAACATTCTAAGCTAATGCAGGATATTTACAATCACTGTTGTTGTTTATAAGCAAAAGCACTGTTAACTTGTTACCAGACCATCCCAAGGTTCGCTGGTGCAGCGCGGACAACTAGAGGACTAGTGACCTGTGATCTTCTGTTCTTCCATGACAAGAAACCAAATGAATAGCCCTTTGAGGGAGAAACCACTTTAAAATTCACAGTGAACCTGATGCTCTGCCCAACTCTTGTGAAGTTTAGTTGGTTTGGCACAACAGTGACTTTAACTCCAGCAGGAGGAGACACTTCAGCTTTATATATACTTCTTGCCTCTCCAACATTAGTCACAGTTCGAGATACTGAAATGTTGTCTTTGAGATTGGGCACTGTAATAGATGGATAGTTGAGGTCAGAGGCAGTTTTGAATTTTCTATGGCCATGGCATGTACTGTTGTCTCTGGTAACAAGCCGAAGCGACTTGTCATCATAATTTAGTGAACAGAGGAACTCTATGTAATCTTCTGGCTTTATATCATAGATGAGGCCAGGATCAAGAACATTTGCAGGGTTCACAAACCCTGATCCATAATCAAATGCATTAGCTTTTCTTCGTCCACCATCTGCTCTTATGGGTTTATGTTGTTTGTCCACAGTTGTAGCTGCGCATATCATAATTAAGATTAATTTCTTGACAGCAAGTAATGAAGCTTGTGCACTACAAGAACATGTGTTGTGATCTTTTTTTGGATTCTGTTGAATTGTTTGGCATTATATTTGAGAATTTATTGACGTTTGATGTCTCCGGAGTCTAATAACAATTTGAGTAAGAAGGAACTCAGGCAACATTAAACTATATAGACCACAAGAATAACGTTATACCAGTTGTCATGATGGCTGATTTGATAGCAGATGGCGACCACAAAGGATGAACAGCTTTGACTAAGGCTGCAATTCCAGTTACATGGGGACAAGACATAGAGGTTCCTGAGAGAATGTTATACATTATGTTCCTTTTAGCTGGTGACCATGCGGCAAGGATGTTCAATCCCGGAGCTGTGACATCAGGCTGTGCAGCAGCAGAGTCAAAACTTACAAATCTTCCAAGAATGAAGTAAATGAAATGATATTTGCAAAAGAGCCAAAATAAATTTCTCCATTTCACTTATTGTCAATGAGAATACTACCTTCAAAATTTCAGGAGTCAAAGAGTTGGGACCTTTAGAAGAAAATGTTGCCATAAGGGGTGCAGGCTGAGTTCCAAACACTGTCTTTGCTCTAAAAATCCTTGACATGGGCTTACTGTTCAGAATAATAGAAACTAAGATTAGAGAGTAGCTGAGAGAGCTCAAAAGAAATGTCCATATTTTGGCATGTAAAACAAACCGTGTGCTATTAACATAAGACAGAATCCTTTCTCCGGTTTTCGTTCTTACGATGGCTGAAGGAATTACAAATGGGACGGCAACCTTTAGATCTAATTCATCAATAAGTATCATCCCCACTCCTCCAGCCTGTTTCACCACCTTACTCTTCTCTAATTTTGACTCTGTTGAACTCTCTGAATGTCGACACACCAGAACATTCCCTTTTGCCTTGGACGCATTCAGGGAACTGTCTACACAATAACTACAGAAACAAATGTATAAAAAAAAAAAAAAAAAAGCTTAAGGCATCATTTTGCATCAATATTTATATAAATCTCACTTTCACGTTTCAATAACCTTGTGCTTTACCTGGATTGATAAGGGGTGAAATATCCTGCGAAGGCTTCAGATGCAGGAAGTATCCTTGTCTTGGCTTTCATTTCCAAGAGACTCAGACTCTCACCCTGTTTCAATTACACCGTAATTGTCCTGGTCTGATTACCGTGCAAAATCTATCAATGAGAAGTGATCAGCATTACCTTGATGTTAACCCCATTTCCTAAGCTAATATCAGATACGAAATCCCTGTCTGTTGAGGCAGCAGCAACAGTGGTCATCCATGGTGCAAGGTTTGCAGCAGAACCAGGATTTCCATTATTCCCAGCTGAAGCGACCACAAGCACTCCATGACTAGCAGCATGGAATGACCCGACAGATATGGCATCACTGAAATAGTCTCCTTGAGGAGCTTCGGAACCAAGAGAGAGAGACAGAATGTGAACCCCATCTCGGATGGCATCATCAAAGGCAGCTAGTAAGTCTGCGTCATAGCAACCCGAGTCCCAGCAAGTTTTGTACACAGCAATCCTAGCCTTTGGTGCTCCTCCCCTAGCTTTTCCAGCTCCCAATCCCGTGTAGTTCATGTTTTCCATGTGGCGCCCTGCAGCTATTGAGGCGGTGTGGCTGCCATGGCCAGAGCTATCCCTGGGAGATTTGTAAGAAAATTTGTTCTCTAGGCCTTCCTCTGCTACAAATCCACTTGCATAGTATCTAGCTCCAATCACTTTCCTGTGCCATTAATTATTGACCAATGAAGATAACACAGCTATAAACCGAAGTCAATAAAGTTAAATGACAACGATTTTGTTCAACCAAAAAACCTGTTGCAAGATGAAGCGTTGAAAGCTTCTCCTGTTTGACAATGTCCCTTCCATTCGGATGGCACTGGAGGCATGTCTGAATCTTTAAAACTAGGGGATTCAGGCCAAATTCCTGTTTGAATAGCGATCATGATTCAAGTCAAATCAGCCGTGCTTCCCATTTATGAACACCAAACCATTAATTAAGGTTTGCCACACAAAGAAGCAGTTTTAGTAGGCTTCCCCCACCCCTCAAATCAATCCCCCTTTCTTTTCTTTCCTACTCCTTTTCATCTACTTGATATAGTGAGAGAAGATGCAAACGCGTATCAAACATTCTTACTTTTGATAAATTTAACCCTCCACATAAGAAGATTTGAGGAACTACATTTATATGGTAAATATGATATATGAAGGAAACCTTTTCCAAGATATAACAGTGCTCATTCGTAAATCTAATTGCATTTTAATTAGAACACCTGATAATAAGAAGTTAAATCTATATTTTCAATTGACAATACAAGTCTTCTGAGGTCGGTTTTTTTTTTTGTTTTTCCTTTTTTCAAAAAACTTTGTTCTTAAGGGGCGACTGGTAAAATTAGGGCGGGAAAGAGACAGAGTTTCTGCCGTCAAACTAACAAATGAAACCTGGAAATGCTTGAGGACCTATGAAAATGCCAGTATGGAACTGTGATGAATTAGCGCAGGGGAGGTTTGCTTCGTCTGAGTAATAAAGAATCTTTCCATAACTGGTAATACTGCTCACCTGTATCAATGAAGCCAACTATTACATTTGCTTGGTTTCTGTTGGAGTGCCCAAAAATCTTCATGTTTTCGTCGTCTGGAAGTCCCATAAAATCCCACGAATATGTTGTGTGAAGAATTCTCTTAGAATTGGGGAAAACAGAGACTACTCCGGGCATATCTGTCAATATTAGAGTACATAACAGAAGCGATTCATTTGTGAACTTTAAAGACTGATTGCACATTGAAAAAGTAAAAAGAGAGAGAAATAAAAGAAATTACCAGAAATTTGGTTAGCTTGTTCATCAGTCAACTTGGCTGCGAAGCCTCTGAAGCCATGTCTGTAGCTATAAACATGGGAAGCTTGAGCCTCCTCAACACTGCTCAACGTTTCCAATAGGAAAAAGTAGAAAATCAAGCATCTGAAATAAAAGAGAAGGGCATGGAAAACTTTTCAGAAAAGGAAAAATGGCAAAAACGCTGACCTCCCTCTGTGAACAGAAGTGAGCATTTGATGGTGTTGCTTCAGAATATCATCAGGGTCTTCGCCCGTTTTGCTTCCCATGTAAACTACATAAACCTGCCATTCAGTCCAACATTAAGTCATCCCCAAAACCAGAACGGAATTGTTAGAACTTGATTCTACCTTAGAACAGAAGCAAAATCTAGTTTCTGCAGAAATAACTGCAAGAAACAGATAAGCGATGGCAATACGGCCTCGAGCATGACTAGAGTAAAACATATTGGAAGACGAGCCAAACAAGTAGAACCAGTATGGATGACAAAAGATGAAACAATAGCAGAAATTGGCAATCAATTTAAGCCTTGGAGGAAAAACGACGAAGCCATTTTTTTAATGCAAAAATTAATGAGGTAAGCGACAAGGACTCGGACGACAAAACGTAGAGTAGTGTGCTGGCAAAGTTTAATGTGTAAAACGGACGAGAGTGTCGGATGCTTTTGTAGGAAGCCAAGTAACCGCAAAGCGTCAGGGGATGAAGATGCATTTTGGGCTAGAGCTGAGCTAGGCCACTGTGATCCTCAGAAACCGGGATTTTTCTTTTGACCTCAAGACGATGATTGATTCCTCAATAAAATATGTTTCAAATTTCTTGTTATTCCGCATAAATAATAAATTATGAAAATTCTTACTACCTCCGATCCTTAATATAAGATCTTGTTTGACTTTTATTTTCGTCCTAAATATAAAAACCCAATCCATTTTATCTATCATATTTATGCATTTTTTCCAAAGTAGTTCTTCTAACAATGATATTTCTATCCAGTATACTTGATTAGCAAAAATATTTTAAGAAAAACAACACATACTTATTACAAATAACTAACTTAATTTTTTTCTTTAATCTCCTCAAATTAGTCAACTAGCTCTTATAATTAGGAACGGAAGTAGTATATCAAATCTGACTTATGAAAAATTACATCACTCAAAATCTGTTTGAGTAAATATCTGTAGGTTTGGACATAAAAATTACAATCAAACTGATGACTTAATTAATAACAGTGAACTGTACCCTTAATAAATTTTTTTAAAAAAATTCCTCATGTGTTACCAAAAAAATACAGTTAAAAATTTGAAAATTAGTAGGAAAGATGATGAATTGACGATGCGATGTAAATGGAGATCTAGTCAGGACTGATACTCAAAGTCTCAAACTAGCACTTACTTAACTGGAATGAGAACCTATGGCTTCTCCTTTTCAAGAAATCCCACGAATATTAGGCCAGATGGCATATGCAAATCACTGAATTTTTCTTGGCTGCATAAGAATATGATCGTTTTAACCAGTTTTATTGCTCACCTCAGCTCAGCTCAGATCTTGCGGCGCCGCATTCTTTTTCCTCATCGCATCCCTCTTACTTAAAGAACGGACTCTGCTATCGATTTCGAAATGTTGCGTGAAATTTCAGATCCTAACAACTCCTTCCTGAGCTCCGAAGATAACTCGATCAGCAGTGAACTCAACTGCGGAAAGATTGTTCTTAAATCCATGTTGCATCCACTGAGGAGTTATACCGTGCTCTGGTCCAAATGCATTGCCATTGAAACTCGATTCTTTTTCCCAGAGCATTCTTGCAGGGTCAGTGCAGCTCTGTTAAGTTAACAAGCAACTCCATCGCTGGTTGAAGAAACAACCGAGTGGAACTCAAAAGCAAGGGAATGCACAAGATCAGTGTGAGGAATCCATGTAAACAACGGTGAGAAAGGTAACTCGCACAGAGACGCCTCATATCATTTCGTAGTATTTAGCGTCCAAATCCAGTCGGTGCTAGGGGCACTGTCGCACCGACGTTTAACCGGTCCCATAATATTTCTCTAGGACCCACCTTATTCCGTAGCATGAAGACTCATTTTCAATTGTAATTTAGAGTACAAAATAAATCTTTTACTACTTTTAATTCTACCTTCAGTTTTAATTATAAAAGTTAGTTAATTAATTTAAAAAATTTTAAAAAATAAGTTAAGTAGTTATTTGTAATAAATAGGTGGTCTTTTCTAAAATATTCTTGTTAATCAAGTGTATTAGTTAGAATTATCATTATTAGAAGGATTACCTTGGAAAAAAATATAAATATAAGAGATAAAGTGGATTGAGATCTTATATTTAAGACAAAAATAAAATTCAAATAAGGTTTTATATTAAGGATTGGAAGTAGTATAAAAGTTTGTTTAACATTTATTTTGGTTCTAAATATAAAGCCTCATTTTACTTTGTCTCATATTTATTCATTTTTTTTTAAGATAGTTCTTACAATAATGTTAGTTCTAATTAATACATTTGATTAGTAAGGATATTTTAAGAAAAATAACATATATTTATTACAAATGACTAGTTTAACTAACTTTTTTAGTATACTCAAATTACTTAATTAACTCTTATATTAAGAACAGAAGGTAATATTTTATATCGTAAGAATTCTTTTTCAATTGTAAAATTTCAAATAAGATCATTTGCTTTTTCAAGAATGGTCAATATTGCTATTAAAGCATATTAAATAAGACTGATTTAAAAATTTTAAAATTTAAGAGGTTCTTTTTTGTGGATTTTTTCTATTTTAAATCCTCAAGATTTAAAAAGGGTTTATATTTTTTTAAAAAAACACTTGAAATAATTATATTTACATTTATATCCATTAAAATTTAAATATTAAAAATAAAATAAAATTCTTACAAGTAATCTAGATTTAATTGGCATTATAAAACTTTTTAATTAATCAACTAAAATAGTAAAATGATTTTTATTGAGGACAATTTTTATATTTTATAAAAAATAATTATAAAATTTTTTAAAATATTTTGTAATTTATTTAGCACCCTAAAATTTTTTTTGAAATGTAATGTAGTTAACATCCAAAAATTTAACATTTTAAAATATTTTGTCATTCATTTGGTACCACATAATCTTTTGTGATATAAGTTTGCTCATAAAGTATTAAAGTGTCGGGTGGATACTAAATAAATTATAAAATATTTTAAAATATTAGACGTTCTTAAAAATATTTTAAAATGCTTAAATAAATCACAGAGTATTTTACAATACAGGATATACTTAAAACAATATCTCAAAATTACACAGTATACAGCTCTGCTTAGTGGAGCTCGTGCCTAGGGTGGCTAATGCACACATGCGTGACCGCCCTTATATTCTTCTCCATTCTTTCAATAGACGCAAAGCATTTTATTACACAATTTAAATTTGACAATTAATTAGAAGGATTTGTCATTAAAATTTAAAAGTTGATAGTTTATAAAAAAAAAAATCATTGGAATCTTTTACACTTTTGAAAAGAAAAGTTAAGAAAACATTGCTTATGGGAGTTTTATACGTAACTTACGATTAACTTAATTATATCATTAATCAATTCCAAACGCCATTGCACTGCTGGCAAAACTATAATAAAATAAGAAAAGTGAGGACGTCGTCATCCGCATCACCGCATCATCCTCCATGAACATGAACGAGTAACTTATCCTCAGATTCACATTCTATTTTGCCCAAAGTGAATGAAAGGCGGATTTTTCTAAACAAAATATTTGAACGAGTTTTCTTAAAAGGAAAAACCATATTGGAAGTACCTATACTTTCTCTCAATTTTTAATTTGGTACCTATGTGTTTTTTTCCCTTTAATTAAACATTTAATTTTATCTTTTTAGTAACATTGGCTCTTATAACTTTGTTCTATTGATATTTTTAGTCTCTACATAAGGATTAATGATGTTAATAGAGGAAAAATAAAGATTTAGTTAAGAACAAAAAACACATAGGTACCAAATTGAAAATTGAAAAAAAGTATAGGTACCTCTAATATAGTTTTCCCTTCTTAAAATGCGGATGAAATAGCTGTTGCTATCTGCTCCAATAACGAATCATTAACTAAATAAGATAAATAGACCCTTCTTTCTCTTCATATCAGGTCGATGAATCTTCTCAATTAAGAGGTCCCTTACACGAATAATATACATTCAAGTTAACGAGTCTAATTCTAATTGTTTTGTTCTGAAGCAAAGGCATCTACAGGACGGTTTGTCCTATTCTAATATTCACGACCAAAAAGTACTGAAATCTCTTTCCTTTTGTTGTGATCATCATAGAAGATAAAATGAATAAATAGAAGATAAAATGAATAAATATTGGAGACAAAGTAAATTGAGTCTTATATTCAGAATTAAATTAAATTTTTAATTAGCTCTTATATTAAGAATAGGAGGTAGTAGTTATTAGAACAATATTACTAATCAAAGATGTGATTGAACCCATTGCATTTATTAAATACAGAAGAGTGCACTTTTCATCCTTTAATTTAAAATAAGATTTCATTTTAATCTTTTAATTTTATAAAGTTCCTTTATAATAATCCTTTGACACTAATGCCCTTCATTTCATTAACAAAAATACTTGCATTAAAATTTTAAAGGGTTAATTACCATACAGATCTACTCATAAAGCATTTCTCCATAAAATTTAAATTTCCAAAATGACGCAAAATGGTTGACTGCTGAAAATCCTGCAATGGCGAATGGGACTACAGGGAGCAAAAAAGCTATGCAACACATATGAGAACTGCTTACTAAACAGTTTAACGCTGGTTTACTTAACAACCGTGACATTTATAAATATATCATCATTTTGTCAGAGACAAAAGCTCGCTTCTACTTTTTGATTTTCTTAGATTCTGGCAATAAGAGAAAATCTCCTTCAGTGGAAGCAAACCCAAGATAATTATGAAGCCGTTATCACTTTAGGATCCTGTGTTTATCACCCTTTTTTGCTTTAATACACCTTTATTGTTTCTTTATTATGGTGGTTAAACGTTGTGTGTATGTGTCCGCTACGCAATGAACTCTTTATTATTATTATTATTATAATAATTATTAGAGTAAAACACACCGATTACCCCTCTACTTTATCTCAATTACAAAGACCTCCTTTTTATTTTAAAAATGTATATAAACCTCTCTTACAGTTAAAGTATATGTTACACAAACCTCCCTCCTATATTTAAGATTTTATTTCTATCCAGCCAAACTGTTAGTTGACCATTAAATTTGACTTTAAATTATTTTTTGACCAAAATGCCCCTTTTTAAATTAATAAGTATTTAGACATTTATATTTTACAAAAAATGTTTTTATAAAATCAAAAATAATTATCTTTAAAATTTCTAATATGTTATAAAATTTATTAATTTAGATCTAAATCATAAAATTTTATAATTTTAGTACTTTATCACGTTCATTAGAAATTATTTACTTTGATTTATTTTATATTGTAAAAACATATTTCAAATACATAGTTTTTGTTTATCATAAAATTTAAATGATACAAG